ATTGTTGCTGCAAAAATTTTCATGACCTGAGTTGTTAATTTTTTTATTTGTGTCCATTTCAAAAACTTTACCCAAAGCATGTGACTTTGCAACTGTATTGCAGTAATTGAAGGGACCATTTATTTTTGGTTCTATTTGAAGTTGGGTGAAGGAAGGCAGTAATATTTAAAGATGGATAAACCTCTGAAAGCTTATTGAAGGTTCAGCTGTCAAGGACTAAAAGACTATTTTTGAGAGCCAAATCAAATTTCCAACTACCCATTTATTGAGCCATTTCTTTATCATCAAGGTTGTTTGAGAATTTGTAGAGATACTTTTGTTGCTTTAAGGGGTTTTCTTTTATTCTGTATAGTTGTGTTGCTACAAACTTTACTGCTTTTGTTTGTTTTAGGAAACAACTGAGCCAATAGATCCTGCTTTTAAACCTGACCAGATAAAAACAAGTGCCGGTCCAACCCCAGGATCTTCAGCGTTGGACAAAGAAGAGATATCAGCTTTAAGTGAGCCAACTTTAAGCCTGAGGAGGAAAAACAGATGGCTTCTTTGCCTTGATTTAAAAAAAAAAAAAAATAAATATTTTGCAGGTGCCCCTGGAAGCCCAGCATTAAGCACGGTTTCTGAATCTTCAGAGTCCAGTTATTGTAGAATGCTGCAAAAAATCGAAAACCTTGACATTATCCGGGAAAAGTGGGTATTACTCCAACTATTCTCTGTCATTATTTTGACCATTATGTTTTTTGCACAAGTTTAAAGTTTCAAAATCTGTATCTCTAAAACTTGGGTGTTAATGTCTTTTTCAGAATCAATCTACTTCAGAGGATGAAAATGTATGTTGTGAATGAAAAGCAGCTCCTCCAGCTGTTCAGTGCCAAGTGCCCTTTATGTCAATCCAAAGTAAAGATGGAGAAGTCGTTCCATGGAGTTCTGCTAGTCCTGAACCAGCAGTGCCTGCAGTGTAGCTACAGTAGGCAATGGAAAAATCTGAGCGAAAAAAGCATTTCTGTCCTTCTAGATGATCACCAGGCAGAATGCTTGGAAATATCTGTAGAGGTAGGTACCATATAACATGTTTTTGTCTTTATGGTAGGGTTCTTCTATTTATTTTTGAGTGCTATTAAAAATTTCAGGTGTCATTTTCTTGTATAAGAATAAAAAAAGCATCAGACATAAAATCATTCTCCAAGGACTGAAACAAAACTAGACTTTAAAACTCTAGTCTTCATAAGGCAGAGAAAGGGTTTTGGAAATCATTGGGCCCTTGATTTTATGTTATTTCATCATGTTCTACTCACCCATTTTAATTTAGTGTCATTTGGAGCCGTTCTGAATATATTTGGTTAGGTTATATCGAAGTAACGTCTTCCTATGGGCAACGAGTTGAAGTCACAGACTAATCTGTTCATAATTTATTATTTATGGTACGCCAGCATTCATTACATGAAGGTGAATCACTGTCCCCCAGACATCCGCGGTTATATTTTATATATTTTTAAAAAAACAAATCGCAGTGTGTATGACGTCATCCGCGTGCGCCAGCTACCATTCATTCATCCTGTCTGCTGAACTGCAGCTAGTTTAACTCACATGCCTGGAAGATGTCTAGTGCTACAACCACAGATGTTCTCGCTCTCGAAATGGAATGGAACGATTCAGATTAGCTAGCTGAACCAATATAAAGGGTAGAGCGTAGCCACCTGTGGCCCGGCTGCCTGTCACAACTCCAGTCCGGCGCGCGGATGACGTCAACATAACTGTGTCACTGTTCTGCCTGCTTAGCGTCTTATAACAGCTGATTGTTGCTGCTGACCCGCTGTCAAAGTGTGTTGGCCGGTCAACACACTCACATTGCATAAGCAATGTGATTTAGACGCTTTCATGTCTGTTCAGCCTTGTGGTCCTTAAAACCAAATGTTTTTAGGGTTTTATGGTTATAATGTATCGCCAGTATATTCAATGTATCCAATTCCTAGAGTTAGCGTTAATTAACCCTGTGACATCACCGTTTGAGGTACTGCTATATAGTTATTGATAATAGTATGACACAGTCTTGTGGATTAAGTTAGTTTGTTTGACCGTTTCATTTCCTCTTTAAAACAAATGTATTCAAATAAGGCCAGTCTGAACACCATAATACTATAAGCCATATTTATCCGTTCACAAACATCCTTATTTAAAGAGTGGAGGCAACTTAAATATCAGTGACTTTTGGGCATTTGTTGATGGAATGTTTTAATTGACTGGATTGAGTAATTGGTAAACAAGTGCTCTGGCACATTCATCTCCAGCATTGTCTACCTCCTATAAGTGAACTTTAATCAAATTGCTTGAGCAATAGAGTTGAAATGTAACTTTATTCGGATTCTATATAATTTTAGACTCGAAACTAAGACCCTCTTTTGTTCTGTTTTGTGCTTTACAGATATCTGCAGATGAGATGTCATCAGAGAAAGACCAAATTGCTGATGAAGAGGGTGATCACAGGGAGGAACGGGATGAACCCAGCAAGACGGATAAGGTTGAGAATTCAGATGACAACTGGGAACCAGAGCACGAGTCTTTGATTTTGGATTCTGATGAGGATGAGGATGAGGATGAGGATTATAACCCTTCTGATGAAGACACTGAGGAATCTGCTCCAAAACACAAGGAGCTCTGCACAGAATGTGGAAAGTTATTTAAAACCAGAAGGCCTCACATTTGTGAGTATAAAATTAAGCCCTTCTCTTGTAACATCTGTGGGAAGAGGTGTGTCAGTGAGCAGTCTTTAGCAATCCACAGCAAAATACACAATACAAACCATCAGTTCCTATGCAAATTCTGCCTTGCTGGGTTCAAGACTAAAACTGACAAGAACAATCATGAGCAGATCCACTCTGGTGAAGAAAGACCTTATAAATGTCCCCACTGTTCTGAGATGTTCGACACGTTCAAGAACCGCCAAGTCCATATGAAAGATCACCCAAAACAAGGTCTGCTAAAATGTCACATTTGTGGGATGGAATTTTTGTATTTTAAAGTTTTCCAGAGACACCTGCTGGTGCATACGGGAGAAAAACCATTCAAGTGTTCAGTGTGTGAGCGAGGCTTTAACCAGTCTGGCCATCTGAAGTCCCACATGCGTATGCACACAGGGGAGAGGCCTTACAAGTGTCAGCACTGCAACAGAGGCTTCAATCACAACGTGAGCTTGAAGAGTCACCTCAAGCGTTTCCACACAGAGTCTGAGAATCAGAAGAAGACTGCAAACCTGGAGGGATCCGTTGGAGGTGACCCTGAGGGTGAAAGAGGCACAGACTCATTGAATGATATTGTAGAGGAGGATCACGCTGTGAAAGACGTGTGGACTGGTGGAGGAGGGTTTAAAAAAAGGAGAACCACAGGCAGACCCATCGGGAGACCAAAGAAGAAGATCAAAGACACAACAGTTGAAGAGGAAAAACGGCAAAGACAAGATAAAAACACTAATACTGCTAAAGATAGAAACCGGAAGCCAAGAAAGAGGAGACAGTCCAGTAGTGAAGATGATGAAGAGGAGCTGTGTGAAAGTGATGAATCCTTGGACCTAACGGAGGACGAGGAGAAGAACAATGAAAAAGTGACATCAAGGCAGAAAGAAAATGAGGACTTAGACTTTGACCCCACTGAAATGAAGAACAGGGAAAGAAAAAAAGTCTGTAAGACCCCAAAAAGGCCCAGAGGAAGACCAAGAAAGAAAGCTGTTTGTTGAGGAAACTGAAGCTATGACTAAAAACTTTTGAAAAAAATAATTTTGCGGGGCATAGCAGATTTTTTGTTTTTTCTTAATCAGATTAAATAAAACAAATGGATTTCAAATTGATATCTCTTTAACATCTTTGTCTTCTTGCTGAGTTGCTTCCTGTACAATTGTTTATGTAGCAAAAACAAACTTCAGAAGACAGTTATATGGTTGGTGGTTATTTCCTACTCTAGCTGTACTTTGTGTTGTGCTATTTTACAAGAAGATTATGAATATATTAGATAACTAGAACTGGGAGTTTTAGTTATCGAGTAGGACATTAAAATTAAGGGTAGAACCAGTTGTTTATTAAATGATTATAACTGGTATCTGCTTATTCACCAAGGTTATTTAGTCTTACTCAAGGTTGGACTCCTGGACTGGCTGTTAAAATGCAGTTGTCTTTCACCAATTTAATAATTTGGGCTTTGAGGAGATTTATTAATCAGCAACCCAAGAAATTGTCTCAGTTTCCTCGAATGTTAAACAAAGGACATGATTTTGGCTCTAAATTATAAAATGTTTTTATGCAGTAAATGTAAAACTTTCACTGCATAGATATCCATATAGGGTTTAAAACATTGATACCTTTATTAGCTAAAAATTCCTATCACAGTATTTTTGTATCTAATCACAAACACTAAACACAAATGAAAATAAGCACGAGTAACTGAAAAGCTAATAAAAGGGGGGTTTAAGACTCCGTTCAAAGTGTCTCTGAGGACTGTTCAAGTTTTAAGACTTTAAATTGTCCCTTAAAATAGCAGCATATAAATGTGAATGACAATGATGCAGAGATCTTAAATGTAATCAAAGCAGTAAACCTCCATTCAGTTTTACTGTGAAAAATTAATGAATCAGAAATGCATAACATTTATTAGCAATGGGCAAAAGAGGAAGTCTTAAATGTTGAAGGCAGTTGGTTGCACTCAGAGAAAATTGGGCTAAATACTTCTGCAAAACACACTTGTAAAACATGTATTTACTATAAATTTATTTTTAATTCACAATTGTATTTCATTTTGTGTTGGTCTTTCACATAAGATTTTAATGAAATAGTTGTAATGTGACAAAATGTGGAAAAGTTCAAGGGGAATGAATTCTTTTGCAAGCCATTTTATATATAAGGGAGAATGTGTGTTTCTGCCCTTCATTTACTTTAAGAAGCCAAATTGGGGTTATTCATCAGGGGACCACTCATACGAGAAACAAGTAGTTGCCCAAAGGTCAGAGGCTGTGCTGAATGGGTAATAGTTACCAATAGGGGAACGCACATACTATCTTGGAAAGCAAACGGTTTGATGCATATTTCCAACTGAAACTGTTTTCAGGATTAGAGGTCTAATCATTCAGGGCATGTACACAATTATATAATTATGGGCTCATAGTTAGTAGGAAAAAGACCAAAAAAATAAATTGCAGCAACAGAGAGTGAAATTACAATATATGATCATATGTGACAAGAAAAGACAGGAAAATGAAAATGGTTTGGTTTCCAGAGGTGGAACAAAACAGTGAGATAGAAACTTATGTTGTAACATAATGGATTAAAGAAAAAAGCTCCAGGGGTGAGAAATATGGAAGGAATGGATAGTAAGTCATCTTTTGAACAGATTCACTACAGTCAAAGACGTCTTTTGATCTTAATGTGTAGATAAAACATGCCATGGCCACCGAGCTTTACAAAATGTAATCATTTTCAATGTTCTTAAAAGCACTATTATTTGCTAAAATTACTTTCTAAAGTAATTATACCAAATAATACTATGTTGCCAATGTTTTTTGCAGAATTAACAGGAAATAATAGGAATAAGTTTCTAAGATTAACTTTTTTTGTGAGGTGACCTGGTGGTCTCAAAGTGTGGCCCGTTTGTGAGGCAGTCATTGATGTGATTTGTAAGCCTTTACCTGAGTCCTCTGGATTATCTGCCACATTAAATCTGGTTGGATTAGGTTAAATGTACTTAAAAGGTCATTCCTTAGGAAAATCTGCTCTTTTCAGTCCTATCCATCCTCCCCATCTGCCTCTACACTGACCTCTAGAGACGAGAATTTCCTGATGTGGTTGAAGACAACTAAGTCAGAAGCCAAATCTTATTTATTTTCTTTCTGAATAATTCTAATTAGCCTGTACATCCTATACTTGCCCCTGCTTTTTCTAATCTGTTTGCATAGCACTGTACTTTTGATTATTTTGAAAGAACAAAATTTTCTCTACCGTTTTACATCCTTTCTTGAGGTGGTTTTGCTGTTTTTGGGTTATACTCCTTAAAATTTACATGTCATGAAATTTGATCAACATTACAAAATGTGGGGTTGAGTTTTGGAATATTGCTTTTAAAATGAAACAAAGTAAACATTTTTTCTGATTTATAGAGTCATGATTGACTATTCAGTTTAGTATTAGTTAATCAGAAATATTAAAGTTGTAATTTTATGTATGACTTTACAAATGTGTGAAATTTACTAAATATAATACTGAAATATTTCAGTTTTCATTAAAAAGGCACAGCTGTGCGCTAATATTACTAGGTTTGGGCCTGTATGTTAATGCAATTTAATTAGTAAGGGAGCAGACTACCTCACATTTTATGCAAATAATGTAAGAGTTTACCCCCTTTGAAAGATTTAAGATGTTAACCTAAGGAAGCTGATAACTCTCCATATGAGCAACCATAGCTGTTATTTCAATTGAAACTTCAGTTTCACGTTCAGTGATCCCAAATTGTTCCCTGTGCTTACATGTTTATCCTCCGCCTGGCTGCTCTTCTCTGTGTTTGTGCGTACAAGCCTCAGCTTAAGCTCCTTTTAAAACCTATCATCTTTTCTCAGTGTTGAAGAAACTTCTCTAGCTTTTAGTTTTGGTAAAGTAAGCATGTGGGTGTTTAATTTTAGGACTGCTTGACCAAGGATTAAACCTGATAATGACTCCCAGATATAAATCAGTGTTTTGGAAGAGAGAGAAAACAGAAGATGCTTAGACTTTGGTGGGAAATAAAGCAGGCCCACCACAGTTGAAGGACATTTTGATGCAGCAGGTAAGGTTGAAGTGTTTTTTGGGTTTCAACAAGCTCAAAATTGAAGAAGCTGCTTGATACCAGCATGTAGATTGGATTACAGAAGTATTCTAGTAACTATAAGTTGTTTGATTTATGTTAAAGAGAAAAACAAAGTCATAAACAAACTGTGAATAAAATAAGAGATTTAAAAAAATGTTTACACACAAAAAAATATAAAGTATTCACCTCCTTTTCTCTGAGTTTGACCAACTGCCTTCAAATTTCCTGATAAATGCTCATGACTAAATACAGTCCCCCTATGTGTAATCTTATCAGTAGAAATATTGCAGCTATTCGACGGCCTCAGAGGTTGGTTAAAAAGGAGATTGGGGAGCATAATGCATCATGAGGTCAAATGAACAGGTCACAGGGTTTAGAGATAAAGTTGTGCAAAGTTTAAATCTGGTTTAGGCTTTAAAAAGATTACCCAAGCTTTGGACTTCTCATGGAACACTGTTAAATCCATAATCTGAAAATTGAAAGACAACTACACACCTACAAAGACCAGCCATCTAACACTCAGCCTGAACAAGGTGAGCACTGGACGAACTGCAGAGATCCACAGCTCAGGTGGAGGAATCTGTCTATAGGACAGATGTTTGTCATGCTCTGCACGAATGTGGTCTTTTAGGGAGAGAGGCAAGAAGAAAGCTATTGCTAAAAACAATATAAGTGGTTTGCAGTTTGCCCGAAGCCATGTTGGGCTCAAAGTAAACATGTGGAAGAAGGTGCTTTATTCAGATGAGAAAAATATGGAACTTTCTGACCTAAATGCAAAACAGCAAATGTGGGAAAAAATGTGTTTTGCAACATCCTGTTCTGGGGATGCTTCTCTTCACATGGACAGTGAAGATGATCACAGTTGATGGGAAGATGGAGGTAAGTGCAGGGCAATCTTGGAGGAAAACATGTTTCAAGTCTTTCAAATACATGGGTCTGTGTTGGAGGTTCACCTCCAAGCAGGACAACAACCCTAAACCTAAAGCCAGGGCTACAGTGGGATGGTTTAAATCAAAACATGTTCATGTGTTAAAACGACCTAGTCGAAGTGCAGAACTAAATCGAGAATCTGTGGCAAGATCTTAAAACTGCTTTTCAGTTTTTCAACAGCAGTGAAAAGGAAAAGTGGAAAGAGGAAACAACAGTGAACTGTTGAGACCTACCCCAAAACTTGCAGCTTTTATTGCAGCAAAAGATATTGTCTCAGGCTGAATAATTTTGCACAGTGTTCTTTTCAATTTATTTGAAATACATTTTCTTCTATACTTTACAGTTTCATACCACTTTGTGGTGGTCTGTTACTCAGTATTCCGATAAGATGTTTGTTTTGATGTGACAAAATGTGGAAATGTGAGTACTTTTGGAGGCCACTGTATGTTAAGCTGACCAACTCAGTAAAACTGCAAATATTTAAAATGACTAATTTTATTGTTGCATTTTGATCATATTATGTTGTTAATATTAATCATGTTAATCATATTTAGGGGATTAATTTAGGGGAATAATTAAATACCTTCATATGATTAATCAGTAAATAAAGACTTATTGATTTATTGCTTTATATAACACATTTTAGTCATTAAATCCAGTATGATTTTTTTTTTCTTGGCACATTCTAACTACTGCAAATATCAAATCCCCTGATTATGGATGATAAATTTAACGTTTCAAACTAAAATGCTAAAACCTTCATAAAGTTTTAGTTTTACAAATTATGTTTCCTGAATTGTCATTAACTACTGATTTACATCTATTCAACGTTTTATATGATAGCAGCCACCGTTCAATAAGGCATTTCTTTGAAACTTTCGTTCAATAAATTCCCCTGCTATCCCAAGAATTACCACCAGGTGTCAGACGTGCGCCACATATCCACAGGAGAACGCTGCTCAGTTGTTCAATAACTATGGTAACTGTTGCTTATTCTCTCCTGCTCATTAAAAAAACA